AGTACTTGTCCATTTTGAATACATATTATATACATATATATATATATAACATGATGTATAACGAATATATAAAATTTGAATATAATCAGTCAAAGCATTTAAGAGATATGGCTCTAGAGACCCAATCATTAAAACAAAATGGCCGCCAGTCAGCCATTTTGAATCCAATCTGAAAAATAAAATGACGTGCATCAGGAACCTGTAATGTCTAATGTATGTTTTAAGTTTGAACAAAATCCATTCATAAATGCAAGAAATGCTTGATATTTGAGGATTTTTTTAGCACAAAAATAGCCACCATTTGGCCACTTTGAAAAGGATCGTCAAACCAACATATCCGTATATCTATGACATGATGTATAATGAATATTAAAAATTTGAACATAATCAGTCAAAACAAGTCGGACATATGGGTCTGGAAACCCATTCATTAAAACAAAATGGCCACCAGTCAGCCATTTTGAATTCAATCTCAAAAATAAAATGATGTGCATCAAGGTCCCATAATGTCCAATGTATGTACCAAGTTTGAACAAAATCCATTTACAAACGCCAATATCCAGTTCTGGAATGCCAGAAATGCTTGATTTTTGAAGATTTTTTAGCACAAAAATGGCTGCCATTTGGCCATTTTGAATAGTAAAACCAATATATCTATGTCATGATGTATAATGATTATATACAATTTGAACATAGTCAAAGCATTGCAGAGATATGGCACTAGAAATGCATTCATTAAAACAAAATGGCTGCCAGTCGGCCATTTTAAATCTGATTTGAAAAATAAATCAAAGAAAGCTTAGAAAGAACTCCCATGTGCTGAGAGTAATGGAGACACATTAAATATAATTCGAAATTACTTAGCTGAAAACTAATTATGCAAATCAGAAAATTAATATGACCAGATTTGAGTGTAAAACTAATGAGGTCTGCGCAATGTAACAGAAAATCTATGTCTCCAAGTTTAATTGAAATGTGATTAGAACCAAAAAATTATGAATTATTATGCTTATTAGGGAATTAATATGAACAGATTTTTACCCCAAACTAATTAGGTTTGTACATTGTCCTAGAGCATCTTTGTACTAAGTTTCATTGAAATGGAATAATTACTACCGTGAAAAACTCCAAAATTTCGACCCCTCAAAAATTCGGCCGCCTATTTATTTGCCGGGTTTCGGTGTTTTATTTACCTCCAAATTTTCGACTCCACTAAAAATTGCCGAC